TATATTGTGCGTTTTATATTTGTGTATAGCCTTTAATAAATTATATTGTTACACCATACTTGAGCCTGCATTTCCCTGTGTCAGTTCACACATCTCTGGTCATACCGGGAGCCCTGACACTGCCATAGCATAGTCCTGCTTACATCTGCCACAAAGAGGGTTCTGGCGTAGCTCCATCGTACACATTTTAGCTGGTGTATAATGAGCCCTAAGTACAATGTATAATTTTGATATACGGTGAGAAACTGTCCGCGAGCTAAGATGGATAGACTGCAGTGCAGCTTCCCACTGGTCTTCCTCCAAAGCCCCCACATCTCGCTCATACTGCCCACTAGCCCTATTTGGGTATTTTTCTAAATAGTCTGTCAGAAGCATGGTATAGCAGCTAGAAATAAGCCCTGTAGTAGTTGTAACTGAGGTCAAATAATTGAAAATAGGGGCGGGGGAGAAGTGTCCATATATGATCTTAAAGTATAGGTGAACCCTTATCTTGCAAAACAAGATGACGGAGGAATGTAGCAGCAAGAGTTTGAACAAAGCACAGCCACAGAAATACACAGTGAAGGGCTGGGAGGGGGTCAGTCATGTCAGCACAGTAGGCAGAGATACAACACTAAACCCATCTCCCCAGTGAAGAGCTGGGCAGGGAGGTGTGTCAGCAGAAGGTAGAGAAACTGCAGTACACTGATCTCCCTAGTGAAGAGCTGTGCGTTTCAGCAGGAGGCAAAGAAACAGCAGTACAATGACCTTCCCAGTGTAGAGCTAGGCAGAGAGGCATGTCAGCAGTATTCTGATCACTGGAGTACAAGCAGGCTGTGCTTTTAAGTAGAATACAGAAAACTGGAATGGATGTGCTTCCACACATAGCGTGGTCAGTCTGAAATAATAAATAACGAGGACTGGCAGGATCACACACAAAGAAAGTAGTTTGTAGAGAACAGGATAGTTTTTAATACAAGCACATGGTACCTCAAACTCATATCAGGAATATGAAATGTTGAGGTAACATATGTTTTCATTGCATACTTACACTGGTCCACCTTGGCACAATATAAGTATGTGTATCTCATACCTGAGGCACCACTGTTGGCTGTCAGCAGTACTACAGTGATAGCTGTGATCTTTCGGTTCCTGCGACTGCTCCTCTGCACACTGACCACAAGGGGTGCCTTGCTCAGCACTGTCACCATTCACAGAACACCACTACTTAACCACTTCCCGTCCGGCCCATGTACATAAACGGCAGGACGGGAGCAGTGCCGAAGCGGGTGGCTGTTTATAAATGGCCCCCGCATTCACTGCCTGTGTGCACAGCTCTCACAGTATTTTTCAATGGCTGCAAGAATGCAGCCAGAAAGAAGGAGAAATGATTGCTTTTACAACCTTTATGGGTGTAAAAGCAATCAGTGTAAAAAAAGACTGTACTGCTCGGGTGATGGTATCTTTAAAAAAAAACCCAAAAAAAAAATCCCATAAATAATAATATCAAAAAATAAAATAAAAATTTTAAAATAATTTTTGAAAAATTATAATTTTTGGTTATAAACTAATTTGGGCTATTTTTTTTTTTTAACTAAAAAGATAGCTGAATACATTTTGGCCAAGATTTATGAAGAAACATTATTTATTAGCAACGTTTTATAAGAAAAACACTTTTTTTTCAAAATGTTTGGACTTTTTAATTTATATAGCAAACAAATAAAAATCCCAGTGGTGCATAAATACCACCAAAATAAAGTTTTATCTGTCTCAAAAAATGCTAAAAAATTTATATATACAGTGTTGCATGACCGTGCAATTGTCATTCAAAGTATGATAGCACTGAAAGCTGAAAATTGGCCTGGACAGGAAGGGGGTGAAAGTGTCCGGACTTAAAGTGGTTAAAGCAGAGCTACAGGCTCCCCCCAAAAAATTAAAAGTCAGCAGCAAATACGGTAGCTAATGACTTTTAATATAAGGACACTCACCTGTCCAGGGATCCAGCGATGTCCTCAACCAAGCTGATTCTTCAATTGGCTTCAGGTGTCGGTTTCAGCATGTTCAGTAAGCGGAACCAGAAAGGTTTCCTCCTGTGAATGCGCAAAGCGTGCTGCACTTTGTGAATGATCCTGCAGTCTTCTGGAACCTGGGAAGGAGGGGGCGAACTTCCAGCTCAAATCACTGCAGCACATCTGACCAGAAAAGGGGAGCGAGTACCTGTCAAAACCAGGTACCTGATTCCCCCTCAAAAAGTGCCAAATGTGGCAGTGGAGGGAGGAGGCAAACAACCAGAACTTCCCCTTTTGGGTGAATTTCCGCTTTAATGGTCCTGCAATCTAGTTTTCATTAAATTGTTTCTTGCTGTATTTTTCTGCCTTCTTGTAATATCCTCTGCAAGCTTCCAGACTTCTTTTCCCCCTCACCTCTGTTTGTTTTGAATGAGCAGTGCGGGTTAGTGGCGGTCATGTGCACTGCTCTACTGCACACCACAAATCTCAGTTCATAGTCCTCAATCCATCTAAAGAGTGAGCAAACGGAGGGTGGCTATGTTGTTACATACAGTGGGATGATGGAGAAGGAATGTAGTCACCCCTATCAGGAAGTCAGATCACAGTAGCAAAAGAAAAGAATTTGGAGATTTGGGGGAGGCTGAGAGCAGTAGAAAGTACTTTGCTGAGTTAAAGTAGAACTATAGGCAAAACATTTTTTTCATTTTGGATAGAATAAAGGAGGGTGACAACTCCTCAGATTTTTTTTCACCATCTGTGCCGCATTGCTGAGATTTCCCTTCACTTCCTGCCCCATAGCCCACACATGAAGTTCAAGGAAATCCCTGCAAATTAAGGTATTTCCTTGCCCCCCCCCCCCCCCCCCAGGTCACCAGAACAAGTGTCCCCATTGGAAGATTTCCCCTCTATAACGTTTCTGGGGACAACCCAAAATTTGGGATTTTCTTTTACTTTCACTTTTTAATGGTAAACAGGACAATTAGAGGGGGTGAATCTCCCTAATGGGGCACAGACAGACGTGTTGTAATCCTTCTCCACTCTATCCATCATTAAAAAAATAAAACGTTTTGCCTTTAGTTATACTTTAAAATACATACTTGAAAAAAATTTTTTTTCAAACTAGAGTTTAGTATCATTTTTTTACCACTACTTGGATCTGAAAACCAGCCTCCATATATTTCATAGCACCTTCAGGGCAATATATTATTTTATTCCTACAATATATCTTAAAATTCTAAACTCATATAATAATAATAGTATTTATTGCTGTTACCCTTATCCTAAACACTTAAAGTCACAAATGATTTATAAACATAAAGAAGGATATACAGTACAGGGAAAGGTAATGTGGAGACTCCCCAGACACAAGAACCCCTGCCACAAGTGGTGAGCATAGATATTTTGGCCAGAAAGTTATCTGTAGTAACCTGGTGTAAACATAATCCTTTACACATTCCATGAAACAATACAGTCCTGTTTTCCTACTAATGACTTTGGCAAGTTTCGCACACTGTACAAGGCATGGCCAATTTTTCATGGATTACACATCTGACTTTGCTTCTTAGCAAGACTTTGCAGTTTTTACTTCATAGCTCCACCAAGCATCCTCACAAATCATGAAATCTACAAGCTTAACGTGATTCTAAAGATATTTTTTCTTCTTTAAAATAAACCTGTCATACTTGCCTGCTCTGTGTAATGGTTTTGCACAGCGCAGCCCCGATCCTCCTCTTCTCAGTTGTCCCGCTGACACTCCTGGCTTCTGCTGAATGCCCCAGAACAAGCTGCAGGCTTTGGGGGCACTTGTATGTATTTGCTGCTGATCCGGGTCTGTGTGTTCATTGACACACAAAGCTCAGCTCAGCCCTGCCCCCAAACTCTCTCCTCACTGGCTGTGATTGACAGCAGCAGAAGCCAATAGCTCCAGGTGCTGCCTCTCTGTCCAGTGAGGAGAGAAAGAGCCAAGAGAAACTCTGCTGGGTCAGGATCGGGTTCAGACAGTGGTGTATTTAGGATTCGTGCTGCCCTAGACAACACAAAAATTGGCTCCCCCCATTGACCAACAACACCCTAGCACCCCCCACCCCTACCTGAGAGAGCCTTCCACTACCACTGCCTCCACTGCACACTCACCTTCACAGCTCCGGACATCGCCGGGAACAAGAGTCTGGCTCTGCATACACCATCAAGCAGCCTGCAGCCTCTCTCAGATCCCACCTGGTCCCCGTGCTGCGTGTCTCTTCTTCCTTACCTTCTTTCGGAGGACAGTGCTGCCCCCCCTGAAAAATGCTGCTGCCCCCCTGAAAAATGCCGCCCTAGGCAAATGCCTTGTGGTAAATACACCCCTGGGTTCACATAGGTATAGGGGAGCATAGAATGCATTAGTCACTTGACCTCCGGAAGGTTTTACCCCCTTCATGACCAGACCAGTTTTTGCTATTCATCACTGCTTTAACTGGCAATTGTGCAGGCATGAAACACTGTAAGCAAATTACATTTATATCTTTTTTTTTTCTATTTTTTCACACAAATAGTGATTTATTTTTGTGGTATTTGATCACCACTGGGCTTTTCATTTTTTATTTATATACGGTAAACAAAAAAAGACCAAACATTTTGAAAAACAAAGGATATTATCCACTTTCGATTATAAATCATATCCAATAAAAAAAATTTAAAATCTAATTTCTTCATACATTTAGGCCAAAATGTATTCTGCTGCATATCTTTGATAAAAAAAATCCCCAAAAGTGTATGTTAATTGGTTTGTGTGAAAGTTATAGCGTCTACAAACTATGGTATATATATTGTATTTGAAAACTGATCATTTCTGATGGCTGATCTCAATTTTTGAGGCCCTTAAAATGCCAGGACAGTACAAATACCCCCCAAATGACCTATTTTTGGAAAGTTGAACCCCCAAATTACCTATTTTTGGAAAGTAGAATTGTCACCAATGTAATACAGCATCATCATATGACTGGTGTGGCGGTGATCAGGGACACTGGGACTGGTGTCAATATGTTAAAAAATAAATAAAAATAAATGTTTTCTTCAATTTTGTAAACTTTTTTTTTCATTACTATTTTTTTTAGATACTTTTATCAGAGTAGTTCAGAGTCACCACAATGACACTATACTACTCTTCCTCAAAAATTGATGCTGCTCTCCACTTTTGATTGGACAAGGAGGCCAAAGTGTAAAGGTTATGTCAGGGATCACACTCATTAAGGGAGAATAGGGTTTGGCCTCCAAGATCTGCTCCACACTGATTCCAGCTTCCAAACCAATACACATCAAACTGTCCCATCCAGACTCAACAAGGGAAGAGGGTGAAGGGCAGACATGTACTCCACAAAAATGCTGTTGCACCAGGTGCACAAGAGGCACCATATATCCCTCCATAAAAGAAGAGAAGGCTAGTACCGTAGGGTAGTTTGCACTAGGTGCCACAGATGACCTAGGAAAAACCAAAGTTGTGGGTACCAAGGGGCCTGCAGGGGGAGGGTAACAGAATGCACAGAGATGATTCTCACAGCCACAGTCTGGTATAGAACTAATAGTGCCCTAAGAAGCAAAAGATTGAACTACAGATTTGCCTGCAGCTACACCAGACATTGAGAGGAAAACAAGGCCTCAGTATGTGCCACATCCATATACCCTATTGAGTACTTTTGAAACCTGGAGAGGGTGTCAGACCAGACCAAAAATCTTCAGAGATGGAGGTGTGGTCAAGCTATGGAACAATCCTCATTGGAGTGTTGGAGTGAAATTCTGAAGAGTGCTGTATCCCCAATGAAAAAAAAAAAAAAAGAACCTGATGGTGGTGAGGACTGGAGGGGCAGAAAGGAGGCACTGCTTGATATCCTCACAGGTGGGAGAATACAAGTGGTTCATATGAGTGTATGAACTCTGCCCTTTCCAAGGGACATTATCAAGGCGATCAAGAAGGGGGGGGACCATTAACCAAAACAGAGGTCAAAGTAAGAAATAAAGGGTGATTGCAGTCCATTGACACCAACACCACACAAGCCCTGGTGTAAAAACAAGAGGGATGCTGACACCGCCTGCATGCTGTACACAGTATACTCTCATGATGAGTCTTCAAAGACAGGGACAGGTAGAGCAACTGGCACCACTGGACCATGTAGGAGTGTGTTTTTCCGTAGGATCAGGTCAGGTGAGCATGAGTTTAGTCCTCACCCCTAGAAAAAACAAGCAGCTGATCCATGCAGTAGGTAAAAAAAAATATTCTAGCGGGAGTTCTGCTCCATAGAAACGTAATGAGCCAGTTCAGCGCCATATGCAATGTGCCTACAAAAATCACGTGTGAATGGGCCCTGAATGGTGACAGTGAAGTGATACCATGTCATATTATCTCACACCAGCAACTGGCTGTTTCATCTATGTTAATATTCACAAAACATGTTTTAAGCATAACACTAACATGTACATTTCTTGTGTGATCTGGTATTACCAATCAATGCATTTCTCAGCTATGCCGTAAATGTTATTTTTTTTGCATTTGAAAGTTTTCAATGACTGAATTTTCGAAGATTGTTTCGGGTGTGGAAGAGCTAGAACCGCTATGAGGTTTTTATTGTGATCTGTGTCTCCCTGCGGGAGATTAATCCTTTCTATGTGTTGTGACCATTGAAAGAGTGAGAGCTATCTAAAGATTTGTCACTGGATCAGGGAACAGCTGGGGACACCTGTTCCAATGCCAACTATATAAAGGGAATTTACCTAACTTTGAGGACGACAACTTTAACAATGTTTAAACTCCAAATCAGATCTGCTCAAAACCAGGTGTTGATCATGTGCCAGAGCATTTTATGTATAATACTAAAGCACAGCAGGTAACTAACCGGTGAAGGGTACTAGAAAACTGGATAATCAAGGACTTTGACTAAAGACATATGCTTTCACAATCACTGGACACAGCAGACGTAATGGACACACCCAGCTGAATATATGAGAGATGATTTGCAGACCCATTAAACTATAAAGTTTGGAGTTTAAGTAATAACGTTTATTGGCCAACTTATGGGATAAGTTCACCTTTCATAACATGTTACATGCACATTTAGGGTATAACATGTTACGATCAGACTGGCACCTGCTCCCCCCCGATCCCAGCTATGACAGCCGGTAAGGGTTCTTCTCCCCCCTCGCTAGCTGTCAAATTTTTAAACAAATGTGGGCACATGGAACTCTGCCCACACAGCCGTGTCACTCATTCACAGTCATCTGTGAATGAGAGACTACAAGTCTCGACAGCCTTAGCAGCTGTCAGCTTGTAGTCCTCAATGAAGCGCCATGGTACTTCATTCATTCTACCTGTCAGTATATCTACTTGCTTGTACATCCTGTATGGGCAGGCAGATATACTGACAGACCTGCATGGCACCAGTGATCTACTGATCGCTGGCGCAATGGTTTACAGGCTCCTGTAGACAAAAATAATAAATGCACTTTTTTTACCTGCAAAAAGGTGAACATATCCTCCAAGTTATTAAAAAGTGCAAGAATTCTTCATCGGGCTTGATGATTTAAATGATGAAAACTTCTGCCTTTAACCACTTGCTGATCACGCTATAGCCAAATGACAGCTACAGAGCTGTCGTCCAGTTCTGGGAGTCATATGACGTTGTTCCGTTGTTCCCCATGCTTCTGTGATCGCTATGTCCTTTTAACACAGCTGATCACATGTCATGGTAAAGGGCCAATCACAGCGGCCTTTTACCAGGTGATAAGCTGTGTCTAATCACAGCTGATCATGATGTAAACACACTTGCCAATTATCCACAGTACTTTCCTCACGCTGTCACAGTGTGAGAAAAGTACTGCCAATAACCGGCAAGTGTGAAAGGAGGCATCTGCACAGAGTATCAGTGCCCTGAATATCAGTGCTGACTATCAATTGCAATCAGTGTCCATCAGTGCAACCAGTCAGTTCCACCTAGCAATGCTCTTCAGTGCTGCCTATCAGTGCCATATATCAGTGCATTCTCATCAGTGCCTCCTCATCAAATCCCACCAGTGCCGCCTATCAGTACCACCTCATTAGTACCCATCAGTAATCTAATCAATGCACATCAGTAAGGGAGAGGAGAAAAATTACCTGTTTGCAAAATTTTATAATAGAAACTAAGAAAAACATTTTTTTTTTCAAAACTTTTTGTCTTTTTTCCTTTGTTTAGCAAAAACACCCAGTGATGATTAAATACCATCAAAAGAATGCTCTATTTGTGTGAAACAAAATGTCATATGGGTACAGTGTTGCATGACCACGCAATTATTCAATGTGCAATAGCACTGAAAGCTGAAAATTGGCCTGGGCAGGAAGGGGCTAAAAGTGCCCGGTAGGCAAGTGGTTAAAGAAGTTACACCTGTTTTTACGGTTGAACTTGTAATATGTGCCAGCTTTTGCAGCCACTCCCCAATCTCCCTGTGACAGCAGATTCAGTATCTTCTCCCCATACCTGTTGTCACTATTTGAAAAGAGCGTGGTCGTATGGTGCTCCGCCCACACAGCTGTCATTCAGGTATCTTTACAGGCACCTGAAAAAAAAAAATAAATAATTGCACATCTTTTTTTACAAAACAATGTGCATTATTATTTTTTTTTTGTAGAGGTGAACTTATCCTTTAATAAATTAAGTTAGTCAATAATGGTTATCATGTAAAATCTGAAATTTCTGCAGTAATTGATGGTTAACACCAGGGGCGTATTTTCTGCGAGGCAAACAAGGCATTTGCCTAGGGCGGCACTTTTCAGGAGGTGGAGCTACCCTCCCCCCCTTTCCCACGGAAAAAAAACACTTCCGTGGGAAAGGGACAGGTGCTTCTGTGGCTTATCTGTGTCCATGACTCTGTCCCACTTTGATCCGGTCCACGAGGTGCTGCTGGAGGAGGCGTGCAGAGGGTGGGATGACATGCCGCCCCTCTCATCTGGCCACACCCTCTGCGATCACTGGGCAGACTACGGCAGGCTGTCCCTCCCATTGCAAGCTCCGCTTCCTCATTGGCCGCCAGATCTGTAGCTCAGGAAAGGCACACAGCAGCCAATCACCGGCAAGGAGGCGGAGCTTGGAGAGAAGCCAAGCGGCAGTGCGAAGATCGAGTGAGGGACCAGCCGGAGCCGGTGAAGAGGAGGAGAATGGCCAGAGAAGGAAGGCAGCTGATAGGTAAGTGTTGCCGGGATCTGGGCAGAGCAGGCAGTGCTGCTGTAGCCAGGTATGTTGGCTGTTAATGGGGGAGAGCCCAGGCTGGAGCAGGAGTCAGCAATGTAAGATTGTAAGCTTCACGAGCAGCGCCCTCCTATTCCTTCTGTACTGAAATGTATTGTAATTGTACTGTCTCCTTTATATTGTAAAGTGCTGCACAAACTGTTGGCGCTACATAAATCCTGTATAATAATAATAATGTAAGCATCATTGGTGTCAGTAGGAGGAATAGTGCCCCATCATTAGTGTCAGGGTGGAAGGAATAGTGCCCCATCATTGGTGTCAGTTGAGAGGAAATAGTGCCCCATCATTAGTGTCAGGGTGGAAGGAATAGTGCACTTTTCCACCAATCGCACTGACACTAATGATGGGGCACCATTCCTCCTACTGACACCAATGATGGGGCACTATTCCTTCCACCCTGACACTAATGATGGGGCACTATTCCTCCCACGCTGTCACTAATGATGGGGCACTATTCCTCCTACTGACACCAATGATGGGGCACTATTCCTCCCGCTGACACTAATGATGGGGCACTATTCCTCCCACACTGTCACTAATGATGGGGCACCATCGTTGGTGTCAGTGGGAGGAATAGTTCACCATAATTGGTGTCAGTGTGGGAGAAATATTGCCCAATCATTGGTGTCAGTGGAAGGAATAGTGCCCCACCGTTGTTGTCAGTGGGAGGAATAGTGCTCCATCATTGGTGTCAGTGGGAGGAATAGTGCCCCATCATTGGTGTCAATGGGAGAAATAGCACCCCATCATTGTTTTCCGTGGGAGGAATAGTGCCCCATCATTGGTGTCATTGGGAGGAATAGCGCCCCATCATTGGTGTCAGTGGGAGGAATAGTGCCCCATTATTGGTGTCAGTGGGAGGAATAGTGCCCCATCATTGGTGTCAATGGAAGAAATAGCACCCCATCGTTGTCAGTGGGTGGAGCTCTAATAGGAAGATGTGGAGCCTAAAGAGAAAGGGCTTGGAGTTTACAGATGAAAGGTGGATCTTAAACAGGAAGGGTTGGGAAACATTTAGATGTGGGGGGGGGTCCCTAATTTTAGTATTGCCTAGGGCAGCACAAAACCAAAATACACCACTGGCTAACACAGTACAACACTCTAAAGACCTATTATAGCAAATGTTAACTATTGAAAAAGTTGCTTACTATTGAGAAGTGAATGTGTGTATGCTGGGATTGAAGTAAAACTGTCTTGAGAGACATATGAAGCATGTCATTAATGGTCTTCCTCTAAAAAAATTTTAGCTTCCAGGTTTCCATACAATTGCTCCAACTTGAAGGATTTCTCATTTCTGAAGATAAACTAAGCGGTTCACCCAGTGTCCTCCTTTTATCGCTGTGAATGGTAGAGGATTCCCAGAGGGAACTGCACCCAATTTAGATTTGTATGCAAGTCATATGATCATACTGCAAGCAGGGTTAAGGATCAATTAACATGAAACAAAATAACGAGGACAGATGGTGCAGTTTGCATTACACTAATTTTTGGGTAGTAAATCAGTGTACAAAAATTAAAAATCAAATTAAATTTAGCAATCAACATGCAAAAAAAGCATGAAAATATTTGACTAAACTGTACATACTCAACATTGTTACTATATACTGTATTTGCTCCCCCTATTTTGATGTTACACTTATCTACAAAAACTACGTTTCCTGAGGATCCAAGCATGTGGTTTTGACATTCAAACAAAGCAACACACAGATTTCATCCATTCTTTTTATAAAAGCAAAAAAAACATATATAGATTTCCTTCAACTATGAGATATAGAAAGTATTTTGTTCAAGTCGCGTAACACCTCTAGGGCTGTGACTGATTGATGGGCCAATTTAATGGTAGTTACAGAATTAGACCCTGTAGTACCACATTCATTTTTAGTATTGATTGTGTTGTGACAAACACAATTGTTGGCCAAGTTAATATGTGGTCTCTTTCTCCATAGCAAAGGGTGGTCATGCAGGCTTTAAAAGTATAGATATTCCACCCAGAATAACAGAAGTATGACATCTACCAATTCTGAAACCCAACGTGATATTAAAGCTGAAATCTATTTGCTTGTTTTGCTTTCCCTGGTTCCTCCCTCACCACTATGCTAATGACAAATTTAAACTAGAAAAGCTACAATTTCTGGGGAAATTGTGTGAAGTGTTCTTGCCTCCACCAGTAGTCTACAACTGGAGTGGGCGGAGTAACTGGGTGGAGTGGCTTGTCACTCTGCTGCCTGTTCACACACCTGGGTTCCTTTGGCAATTCACTCTACAGCAAGGGCAGAGAAGAGCGGTTAAAAACAAACTGCTCCAACTTGATCACTTCACTGGCAGTTGCCATCTTCAAATTGTAGTTTTAAAATTTTAAATTTTACACCAAAGAGCTTTATATTGTGAGAATTCACAAGACCCAGACCTACATTTTGATGCATAGTATGTCTCTGAAATATTAAAAATGAAGGCACAGTTGCAGTTTAGAAATTGCCCTTCAAATTTGAGGTGGCTAGAGTGGAGTTTCAATGAATGTCAATGGGCAGAGTGAGTTGCAAACAAATGGTCATATTGTGAAAACTACCAGGACCATGACTTAGCCGTGAACATTTTTAGTGGCAGCAGGGATAGCTGAACATTCTGATATAAGATTTGTGTAGGTGGGCTTGAAAATGAGGGAGTGATGGCAGTTTAGAAATCATGTCCTGATTTTTTTTAGCTCCCACTCTAGTTGTGAACATTCCATCATTCATTCCTATGGGACCAATTTCACCACAAAAAAACGCTGATATTTCGTGAACCATTCGGCGAAAACGTACCACAAAGTAAAAGCACACCAATCGGGAACAATCCGCACGTTTCGGTATATTACTGTCTATGTAGTGTAAAAACTGTGGGAGGAGGTAGGGTGGTAAATTTGGCTATAATAATAAGAATATATATGTGAGATAACAGGAAGTGGTCTTGCCATGCAAGAACACTTAATAAAACCTTTCATTATACTTTATTTTAGATTCAGTGATGAAGCTCTGTGCTTCCATAGACAATGACGGCAGATCAGGGCATGGGGGAGGGGCCAGCAGGGTGCTGTACATAGCTTCTCGAAATCATCACAGCACGATACTCAGTACTTCTCGCAAGTACCCTCAGCCCTCATGGTTGGGTACCAGTCTGAAGGACTGCAAACAGCCCACCTTAGTTAACACGCAATGCTGAGCCCCCATGATTGAAAGAACTGAAATTCAATGAATGAAATGAGCTGGCCAGGGACAAAAAAGCTGGGAAGAAAGAGCAATTTTATTCTTGACTTGGTGCAGCTTCTATTTTACACTGTGAAGGTAAAGCTGGAGGTTGGCTCTAATTTGTAACTTTGTGCACACGCATGATTAACCCTTATTTTCTGTTTCAGAAGGATTGGTATGCATTGTACAGGGAGCAGGTTGGGAAATGTCTGCGATAAGGACTCCTAAAAGCTAGCAGTAGTTGCTGTGGTCCCCTGTGACCCAATGTTTGTATCAAGGGGGATCAGAGCAGAAACAGCTGATGTATACTCATTGTTACAATGTTGCTGTTTACATCTGTTACAAGTTCAGCAGCAGAAACACACAATTCAAGGCTTTACATTTAGCAACTCACACATGTGATACAGCACCTATCTGGCCACAACCTTCAAGCTTTCCTTCCCAGTACTGTCTGATCACTCCCAGTCGCACATCTGTGTAAATCCTCTTGTTGCAAGCAACCATACTTAGCAGGCCATTACATATCAACTCTAAAACTCCACCTCTGTTCATTCACAAATAATCCAAGTTCTTGCTCCACCACCTGCAGGCTTCCAGTCACAGCAGAGAAATAAAGGCTGAGGAAAGACATTTGCCAAGAAGAAAAAAAAAAATGGAAAGGACCAATTGTCCTGCCAAGAGACATTATAAAAGCCCTGCTCAATCTGTCTGCAAATCAACCTTGGGTAACTTATATAAAACAAAGTAAAAGTTACATTTAGGATTTCCTGACAAAACCCCAATGTTTCTTTAATTGCATTGGCAGTTTACCCAGTAATTGTTTTCCATTATTTATTTAGTACAGGTACTTACATAGAGCCGTCAATTTATGCAGCGCTTTACATATATATTGTACATTCACATCAGTCCCCAACCCTCAAGGAGTGTATAATCTAAGGTCCCTAAACTTACATTTAGACAGGATCCAATTAACCTACCAGCATCTTTGGAGTTTGGGAGAAAACCAGTGTAGCCAAAGGAAACCCAAGCAGGCACAGGGAGAACATGCCAACTCCAGGCAAGTGGTGCCATGTTTGGGCTTCAAACCAACAACCCTAGAACTGCCAGACAGAAGGGCTAACCATTTACCACTATGCTGTCCTATATTAGATTGCAGGAGATGCACTTTTAACCTTTACCCGCCCAGCCTATGGCCAGATGGTGGCTGGCAAAATTCCTCAGCATTCCGGGTGGACGCCGTAGGGCGTGCTCCCAGGCATACGCAGTTTGCGCGCCTGCAGATCAGCGCAGCTGCGCGATCTGTCACCGGCTGTGTACCTCAGACACGGCCGATGACAGATCTGAGTACCGGCCCCGTTGCTGGTACCATGTGACCTGCTGTGACCAATCACAGCAGGTCACATGACAGTTGTATACAATGGATGGCTTCATTTATGCCATCCATTGTATACTAGTGTGCCTAGCTGTGAATGGTCACAGCAATCACATGCACAAGCTGGGCCAATCACAGCCCAGCTGTGTCATGTGATTAGCCGTGGCCAGATCACAGCTAAGCACAAAAAAACAAACAAAAAAAAAAACCCTGAATGAATCGATGTCATTCAGGTAAATGCTTGCTTATAGCAAAGTAATTCTTTGCTATAAGCAAATTGTGTAAAAAAAAAAAAAAAATACTGATCACGTCCCCAAAGTAGTACAATACTACTATGGTAACATTGTACTACTTTGGTCATAGTGAAATATGAAAAAAAAAAAAACTTAAAAAAAGTAATAAAAAATTAAAAATATATAAAATTTAAAAAAAAATTTAATTTTTTTCATACTGTCACCAGTCAGTGTCCCTGATCACCGCCATGCCAGTTATATGATGACGCTGTACTGCACTTGTGACAGTATATAAAAGTGAAAAATTGTTTTTTTAAATATTTTCATTTTCCAAAAAATTCTGACAAAAAAAATACAACTTCAAAAAACTCACCATGCCTTCTATGAAGTACAACAGACTGTCTACTTTGCAAAAAGGGGTAATTTGGGGGATATCTGTACTGTTCTGACATTCTTGGACCTCAAGAAATTAGATTGGGCGTCAGTACTTCAGGACTGATCAATTTTCACATCTATACCATAGTTTAACTATAACTTTCCTACAGACTAAAAAATGCATCCTAATTTAGGATATTTTCACCAAAGACATATCGGCCTAAATTTATGAAGAACAATTATTTATTTGCAAACTTTTATAACAGAAACAAAAGAAAAACTTGGGTTTTTTTTTTTTTCAAAATTTTCTGTCTTTTTATGTTAATTTTTATGTGGTGATTAAATACCACCAAAAGAAAGCTCTAGTTGTGTGAAGAAAATGATAAAATTTTACTTTGGGTACAATGTTTCATGACCGCACAATTGTCAAAGTGTGAGAGCACTGAGACCTGAAAAATGGCCTGGTCAGGAAGGGGGTAAAAGTGCCTGGTATGGAATGGTTAGTGTTACTAAACCCATCACTCTGCATTCATTATATCTGGTCTCCCACAGAACAAGGAAATGCAATTATTTTAGTAAATATAAACTCCTAAATACCTTTTCTCATCAGCAGTTAGTGCAGTGCATAGGTGAAAATGTGTTAACTTTTTTATTGCCCAAGTGAATCCCATGTATATACATATATGGCCAAAGGCACAGTGCGATACATAAAAAGCATCACTGTTAATCCATATAACATGTATTTCACAGACAAAGCTCCCATCATATTAGGATGTTCAGATTCCAAATGACATATTATCTCACAGGAGAAGATGCAAACAGGATAAACATATCGTTTTGCAGTGAATTCTACAAAATCACACACAGAAAAAAAAAAATCTATCAATATGAATATGCCAAGATGAATTTACATGTGATGAACCTAACATGTTCATTTTTAAATACTGTTCTTTTTCTACCATCTGAATATGATATTTTGATGATTAGTGTGTGCAATGATGTAGACTAGCTTAGATTAATGGGCCTAGGTTTAAAGACAGCTCTCACCTTTACTCTGTGTATCCTTACATATTAGAAGAATTACTATATGGTTAAATGGGAAGCTGTAGTAAGCCCAATATGCCCAAACCAGTTTCACAGAATCATCACGCCTAAAGTCAGACTATCAGTTTGGATATATATATATATATATATATATATATATATATATATTAGATAGGTTCTTATAATGATAGAGGGCCATACTATGACTATACTATATACAGAATTAAGGATTCAGCAAAATAACTAAACTGTCTCACTGACCTGAAATTTTGGGAGATCCTATGCGCAGGGGTGGAAATATGTCTGTCAAATGACATAAGGGACAATTATCAATTGTCTGCAGATGTTGTAACCAACCAGTGTTCATCTATAATGGAGAGATCAAACTTAGTCTTTAAAGGATAAGTTCACCTTTTACCAAAAAATAATAAAAATGCAAATTTTTTTGCAGGTATAAAAATGTGCATGTACTATTTTTTGTTTTGAGAGGCTGGAAAGCATCGCACCAGCAACCAGCAGATCGCTGGTGCATGCAGGACTGCTGCAGACCTGTCAGTGTATCTGTCTGCTTGTACCTTGTATGGGCAAAGCAGATGCATGACAGGAAGAATCGATGAACTACCACAGTGCTCAACAGCGCTGTGGTAGTTCATTGATAACTACAAGCCGACAGCTGCAAGAGATGTTGGGATTTGTAGTTTTCCCATTCACAGAATACTGTGAATGAGTGACGCTGCCAGATGGGCGGAGCTCCACAGTCACATTTTTTAAAAATTGTGACAGCTATTGGGGGCAGAAGATTCCCCACTAGCTGTCACAGTAGGGAATTAACAGAAAGCTGGGGCTGGTCTATTTGTAACATGTTACAAACCTAAGCTTTAAAATATATAAAGCAAGCCAATGTGGAAATATTTTCTTGACTACTATGAACAGCATGCTCCCAAAATGTGGCCAATCACTGCACCTGATCCGCTACATCAATGAAATCCATAGTGTAAGTACTAACCATCTTCCCAGAAGCTGGCATTGACCATGCCCTTTCTAATCCTTGTACCTTACTATTGGTTAGTGGGTACTTTAATCTAGGGTTTCAGGGGCGCAAACAAAAAATCAGGGGTGTTGAGCAAGCACTTGGAGCAGTTTACGTCTAGCTGGTAAGATTTAAAAAAAATAAGTCAAGGCTTAGTTACTCTCCTGTGAATTGTGCTCCCCTTTCTAGAAAATCAGACACAACGCGATAAAAAAAACCCAAACATTTCTATAACTTCATGGCAGCAAAAAGACAGATGTAGATACAAAAAAGGAGGCACTGCATTTTGTTCTCCAATTAATAAATGTGATACATTTGCTGGCTAACAAATCTTAACAAAAAAACAGAAGGTGCATCTGTTTTTTTTTTTTTTTGTGTAAACTAGGAAAGAAATAGAACATCTGACTAGTTGCTATCAGAGTTTGAGATTTTCTCACAGCCATAGGAAATTCATATATCTTTGAATACTTCATTTGGTTAGCAGAGCATCCTCTCATTTTGTAGCCTCTGATTTGTCAAGGGTTTGAAACATTCCAAAAATAATAAAAAAAAAAAACCATTTTTGTTTCAGACCCCCGACCATTAATTTGTGACCCCCTAACCTCTTACCCAGTGTTTTGCCATACTTCAACAACAGGGAGCCATCTCTTGAAAAATCTCCACCACATCGCCACAACTAGGTTTAACGGTTTTTTAACTTTATTCTAAAGTGGAAATCCCCTTTAGCTCTTCTAGAGATACTTTATTAGGGTCTATTTGTTATTACACCATAGGAAAAAATCTATAACATAACCTAGATTCAAATATAAATTTCTGAACAGACAAGATTAATATAAACAAAAAAAAAAAACAGAACAAAACAACATTATGCCTTGTATATCTGTTGAAACTATACAGTCCATAAGTGCATTCTGCTATTGCTATAGTAATGAAGAGGTAACCAATGCAAAACATAAAAGTCACTTAGTTAAATTCACATGTTGATACAGCTGCAGTGTCTGACAACATCAAATAAAAGTGTTCAGATTTGGACTATTGGATTATAATTTTAATGGAATGATTGGCCAGTACTTGGGCTGTTTCTTATCGCAGTGTCTGTCAAAATTAAGCTGTATGGCAGTTTCCATTCCTTGGATTTTAGCTGCATCCTCTCCATAAAGTTTCTTCATCTCTATTCTACGCCTTTCCCCGGGCCTCTCGGAAGGAGGTTGCGTGGATCGTTTTGTGGGGACATGAAAGTCATGACCTGCATCTACATACTGTTCTTGCATTTCCTCCTCCAGTTGCTGTTGCCGCTCTGAAATGACATGACACATTTATTAAAAAAAAAACAAAAGCAGTTAAATGTGCAGATAATGAACATTACAAGAATTCAGATGACCGAAGAACATCCAAAATCGATTTTACAACTGTCACTGACCGATTGCTTGGGGATTTTAGAGAACACAATTATTTTAATGAAGATCCAAAACTATCTGATGTAGAGCAGATGAAGAAAACAAACAATGTGCCAAGGCTGATACCCATTTTAAAATGTATGTAGACCACTTATGACACATACAGTACATAATTAGTTTATACTTTACATCATTTTGCAAGGAAGTTGCACTTTACAAAAAGAGATTTTCCCCACAGCTTAATGAATGCAGTGAAATTTCAATTTGCAAAGAATACCCAAACATAAAAGACAATTTTTGTTTGTACATGATTGGAAGACGGAAGTCAGCAGAGCTTTCCTTGCAAAGTGCAACTTCCTTTGTAAAGTAAACAGTCTATTTGGGGTAAAGCAATCATATTTATTTAGCCTAGGTTTTTGATTTATTCTGGAAAATTATCTGTGTGTGATAGATGTAGTTTTGTAGATTTTTCATTATGTTCCTTAGCGTCGTCCCACTGGTATGGAGATTAGATTAGAAGGTCCACTAGGAGGTCATAAAGTGCTGTACCATCATTTTAAACCTGATTAACCAGCAGCAGTGAGGCCTTCAAAAACCACAACAGGCATATTTTAATTAATTTCTTTAGTAATAACTGTAGTCACTAAAAAGCGGTATGATAAAATAAGTTGTGGACAAGATTTTTTTTTTTTTAAATCAGCTTGTAAGACGGATGGCTGATCTAGTCCCAGAGCCACCACATGCACTGTACTCTAATGTAGAAAAGCTGTCCACTCAGAATTCAAAATTTATGGGTGTAAAGCCCCTGCTTTTTACGAGTCCTGTCTTGAGTCACAATTTCCCTGGTTAATGGCAGCAGATGCACGGCTTAAGCATACAAAAGGGTGATGAGGGGGAAGTGGGAGGTGGGATATGGGAATGTGCAAAATCTTTTGCATTGCGAGTGCCAGGTTGGAAAAAAAAAAAAAAAAAAAAAAAAAAAGAGAGCGTCAAGTGGAAAAAATGAAGCTGCTCTGCCAAGCTATGAGCCAAAGCCTGACAACCAAATTTTTTCTGTGCTTCATAAGTACTGCAGATATGGTATGTGTGTATATATCTGTATTTTACAGAAAGCAGTATTTAAAAAAAAAAAAAAAAAAAAAGTCAAGTGTGCAAAAACATTTGTTACATGACAGCACTGGTTGCAAAACTCATGTTTAAAGCAAACGTGTGCTTTGCCCATGCCGGAGCAGGAAGTTGGGAACAGCACCACTGTCGCTAGTTCCAAAATAAATGTGTTCTCATCCGTGAAATACACTAACAAAGGGCAAAGATGTCAGTAATAGTAAAGAGCTGAACCTGTGAAGCCCAAAAGCAGTGCCTCTCAGCAACTTTTATAGCCCCTTCAACTGCCTTTAGATATTTCAACACATATATAAAAAAAGTGTACAACATTATTTAAATAAAAGTCTATTTAAATAAAAGCCTTTTGAAAATCATAAGTTCACCTGTGACATTTTCTTTTAAAAGATGATACTGTATATAAAAAGGAGCCCCCCATTAAAATAGACTTTTTTGACAAGTACATCACTATATCATATAGTTCTTGAAGACGCTTGAATAAAATCAATCCTGTATGAAAGAAAAGCTTCAGGAAGACAAACAGTTAGCAAAAGGCCATGTAAGAGCAAATAAGACAAAGCTGAAACAATAAATAGCAGTGAGTAGGTGGCAATCACATTATGAAACATCTAAGTATGCCTGCTGTATATGAAACAGAACACCATCCTTCTCCTTAGGAAGAAAAATAAAACTGATAGAAATGTGGTCACAGTATACACAACTCCAGCACAGAGGCTATGGGAATGGACTTCTGTGTCCTCTCTTACACACAGGTTTAAGAAAACAAGAAAATATTGTCCAAAAGGCAACCACTAATAATCATCATCAATTTACATTTCACAAACACAGCAGTATGGCACACAAACAGAAGTCCAGGCATTTAAACAATTCAGGGAGTCAAATAATGATTAGTGATATCGAGAAATGTACAGAATGACCTAATATGACCTTCAACAAGCACTTCTAAACTAAGAGCTCATTCACACCTGTGATTAAGGCCAGACACAGATTGCATCCAGGGCCATTCACCTGTCCCTAACTGGAGGTAACAGCTCCCAGTGTGGATACATGCGAATAGCCATGGCACCTGTCAGCCGTCATGGCTTTGTACAGGCTCCGGACCACAACTGTCCGCACCCATCTGTGATTCCATTTGCAGGAATCCACTGTATGTCCCTAATCACAGGTTTGAATGAGCTCTAAGGCTGTATGTATGGGCAGGCTGAATGTACCCAAGTTGATCAACTGACCAACCCAAGTACAACCAGCCTGCCAGATTTTGCATTCATTTATCACAAGTGGCTGTTCTAGCCGCTAGCAATAAGCGCTGTGTGTTCTGCCAGCGGGGGCGGCTTCCCCCACCAGGAGAACACAATGGCTCAGCTTGCATTCTTGCAACCCGTCTATGGCCTGCATAAGGTTGCCGTTTCTTTCCTGTAATTTGTTATACCTTGTAATTTTTTTCTTACAGAATACATTTGTGTACAATACTGTACAGTGAACATATAAGACGGAAGGGTTACAGAACAAATTAAGTGATCATTCTGAACAACAGGGAGTTCTGTCTGATGCCGCTGAAACCACTTTAGAACGGTTTGTTGTGTTCTTAAAGCAAATGTAAAGCCTAACAGAATAACATTAAATAATTTAATTCTAAATACAATTAATTGTCCAGCAAAATTACAAATAAAAAAATGGCACACCTGCGGCAATACTCACCTTCAATAAAAGATGTCCCTCGCATTAAAATCACTTCTGCCACTAGACAGAGCCAGTATCCCGGGAATTGAACCTGTCCACTTTCCATGAGCCCATTGCTGTCATGGACTTGTCGCTTGGAGGAATTTCATCACACTGACCTCAGAGTACTTATGTAATAAGTGGTGCCTACACATCATTGTGTGAGTGATGTTCAGTGCAATAATGAGACGAATGGTGTGTGATGTCACTGGACTAGCCAGAAAACCCTTGTAAGGAAAAAAGAAAAAAAAAAAAAAAAAAGGGATGTAAAGTTTGAAATAATTTTATTGATGTGGTGGGGTTAATGTTAAAGCAGGTTATAGTCATAGCATGAATAATCATTTTAGAAAACTAGCAGTGTAATAGCAACATAAACAATAGGTATTTTGACAATTTAGTATACTTTCAATTTCTAAGGGCTATAAATATCCCATGGTGCCTGGCTGCCTGCAAGCAGCAATTCCTGTACTGACTCCACCTCCTGAAACTCTCAGCACCTCTGTATTTCAGAAGGCAGGTTCTGTGAAATGTGTGACACAGCATTGCCTGCTCACAGGGCATAGTAAATATGGTACATGCCACAGAATTCAAGAAAGTATGGGCCCTTTCACACAGAGCAAAGCAGTATGTTTACAGTGGAAAGCACTAACACAGCCTACAGTAAAACAGCAAACAGTTAACCCTTTGATCTCCCCACATGTTAACCTCTTCCTGCCCAGTGCCATTAGCACTGATCACTATATTGGTGTCACTGGGGATGTCAATGACACCAAGTCAGTTCCCCCCAGTGTCAGAATGCCTGCCACAGTCCCGCTATAAGTCACTGATCGCCGCCATTACTAGTAAAAATAATGAAACAAATCCCAGTATCTATACCGCCATTTGTAAACGCTATAACTTTCACGTAAACCAATTAACTTACACATATTGGGATTTTTTTTTTTTTTTAGCAAAGACATGTAGCCGAATACATTTTGGCCTAAATTTGATTTTTTTTTAAATTTTTTACTGGACATGTTTAATAGCAAAAAGTCAAAAATATAGTTTTTTTTCTCACAATTGTCAGTCTTTTCTTTTTTTTTAATAGCGCAAAAAAAAAAAAAAAAAAAAAAAAAAAAAAAAAAAAAAACACAGGCGATCAAATACCACCAAAAGAAATCTCTATTAGTGGGAAAAAAAGGACATAAATTTCATTTGGGTGCAGCGTTGCATGACCGCGCAATCGTCAGTTAAAGTAACAGCTCCGTAACACAAAAAAATGGCCTGGTCAGGAAGGGGTGTAAATCCTCTTGAGGGCAAGTGGTTAATGATATTATAATGATGCATCTATGAGATTTTATTGATTGGAATTAGATTTGTTTTAACAAGGCTGAGAAGAAAGAAGAAAAGCGATACATAGATATGCTCATGTATGGAAGCCATGAACTAAGCAGTAATAGTAGTTAAGTGAACAATTCAATCAACATGAATCAAGATTTGTCCTGGTCTAGGAAAATATGATAGGTATCTTTCCAAATATTTAAAGAGGAACTCCACTAAGGCAGGTGTAAAACGGACCTGTGTGTTTACTTTCACCTATCTCTGGGTTTGATCCAGTCCGCTTAAAAAACCAAACAGGGATCTCTCCTATTCATTTTAGACAGTTCGGATTGGAGGGCAGTCAAGAGTAAAATGGACAGTGGGGTCCGTTTACTCATGGCCACCCATAGAGCAACTCTGTATCCACTCTGCATAAACTGTCCACTCTGTATAAACTGAGCAGACAAGGATGTGTCATCCACCTGCTCTACTCTGATCAGCAGATATTCTGTGAGCTGATCAGCAGGGGATCCGTGAGCTGATCAGCAGGGGATCCGTGAGCTGATCAGCAGGGGATCCGTGAGCTGATCAGCAGGGGATCCGTGAGCTGATCAGCAGGGGATCCGTGAGCTGATCAGCAGGGGATCCGTGGGCTGATCAGCAGAGGATCCGTGGGCTGATCAGCAGGGGATCCGTGGGCTGATCAGCAGGGGATCCGTGGGCTGATCAGCAGGGGATCCGTGGGCTGATCAGCAGGGGATCCGTGGGCTGATCAGCAGGGGATCCGTGGGCTGATCAGCAGGGGATCCGTGGGCTGATCAGCAGGGGATCCGTGGGCTGATCAGCAGGGGATCCGTGGGCTGATCAGCAGGGGATCCGTGGGCTGATCAGCAGGGGATCCGTGGGCTGATCAGCAGGGGATCCGTGGGCTGATCAGCAGGGGATCCGTGGGCTGATCAGCAGGGGATCCGTGGGCTGATCAGCAGGGGATCCGTGGGCTGATCAGCAGGGGATCCGTGGGCTGATCAGCAGGGGATCCGTGGGCTGATCAGCAGGGGATCCGTGGGCTGATCAGCAGGGGATCCGTGAGCTGATTGGAACAAAATCCGCCCTGTATGAAAAGGGCCTAAAAGGATTTGTATTTAAATAGCATCATAAAACCATATGCAAAGAGATGGGATCCTTTGCTTGTATGTGACTATACAGTACATCAAGTCCGGTTTGGTTTGATCCAGGAAAAAAGGAAATCTCAGCTCCCTGATGTTAAAATGGGAGTTAAAACTAAAGACTATGCCAATTTACGCCTTAATATATGCCACTAGTGATTATACATACAGTAATATCATCACAAAGTTATTACACCTGTAATAAGGGAGTTTGTTCTCTCTGTGCCTGCGTGGGTTTCCTCCTACACTCTAAAGACATGCTGGTAGGCCAATTGGCTCCTGTCCAAATTGGCCCTAGTATGTATAGGAGTTTGAAACCTTAGATTGTACATTCCTTGAGGGCAGGGACATATGTGAATGTACAGTATATATGTAAAAGTGATGCGTAAATTGTCAGTGCCACAAATACCTGTAATAAATGTGCTCAGTTATGTTTTATATTTAACCATCTGAACAACTGGCCTTACAGGGAATGTTTGAGCATTTGACAGCAGACGGGGGACCTCCTCCCTGCACCTGCTGTCACAAATTTGAAAACAGCACGGCCCTGCGGGGTTCTGCCCACACAGTCGTGTCATTCATTCACAGAGTTGTGTGAATGAATGCCTACAAGTACCGTCAGGCATCGCGGCTGATGGCTTGTAGTTCTCAAAGAATTGCGAGGGTGCTGGTGAGCGCTTTTGTGGTCCACTGAGCTTCCTGGACTTCAGTAACTGCCTGCCCATATCAGAGGTATGGGAAGACAGACAATGTACTGACATTCTGCAAGAGCCTGACATTGCTCCCTCGATCTGCTGATCCCGGGTCCTATGCTGTACAGTGAGGGCTCCCAAGGTGCCCAAGAGAGAAAAAAACCCCAAAAAAACAAAAAACAAAAACAAATGCACCTTTTTTACCTGCAAAAAGACATGAATTTAATTTTTTTTTATTTTTTATGAAAGTGAAGCTATCCTTTAGGCTCCCTTTTAAAGGATATGTTCACCTTTTTAAGAAAAAATAAATACATTTTTTTTTCTTGAAAAGGTGAACATATCCTGGAAACATTCTGTAAACTGTTATTGTACATCCTTAGATATGCCCTTTTCTGACAGTGCGATTAGCTCACAGGTTTTATAAAATGTCTGCACTAAAATCGAAGTAAACTTTTAGGCATCTACTGCAATAGGAAAGCTATTTTTTGTAAGCTACCTCACAGAAAATCACTACTTCTAAAGGAACGCATGTACTCAGAATATTGAGCATTCACTGGTTGGTTATAACGATTACAGCCCCCCCAGGAGTCTGGGAAGAACATGGTGAAAAGGTTATTCATTCAGAACTGGAAAATAGTAAGAAGCTGAAACCCTTGTGCAATGTGAACAGATCACTGAAACAGAATGTAATTTTCTAATCAAAAGTGGAGTTACACTTTAATTCGCATTTTAAAAAATATGTTCTACTTTAAGTATAAAAAAAAAAATGGAAGAAATGAAGGGTATACATTTAGAAAGCTGTGAATCTATTTTGGACTGTGTTCTTCTCCCTTTTGTTCCTTTGGAGCTTCCAGCTCTCTCCTACTTAAAGAGGCCCTATTGAGTCCTGTCAATGGAGCCTTTCTAAGCACTCTGTTCTGTTGTTATGGAAACTTTGAAGTGTGGGATTGCAATGTTTTTACCGAAGCTGAGCATGATCATGTCTTAGGCAAAGTAACTGGCATGCCATAAAGCACAAGCTCTATCAAGAACAAACTATGCTGCTTTCTGTCTGCATTATGTAAACAGGGCATACTTTAGGAAATCTCTTTTTGGGTGCTGCAAGGTATTTTACATGATTGTGTCAATCTATACTGCAACTTGAATCTGAAATAAATGACAGAAGAATAACTGAGCTAATATTGAAGAATATGTTATATTCAGATGAACCAGATGGAAATATATATATGTGTGAAAATGGAACGGGAACATAACTATAGGGAAAAAAAAAACCTAAATCAGGATGTGTTGACATATATCACTCCTTATGACTCCTACATGCAGTTATATCTGCTATTTCCCTATATATTTATTTACTGTACAGGCAGAATTCGACCTGGACAGCTGCTCACAAAACAGATCCTGATATAAATTGATATATTTAACATTGCTTTGTGCAGCAACACAGTAAAAAGCTGCAATATATACAAAAATTAGAGTTGCGCTCTCATTTACACGTCTTGTTTAATAAATTTTAATTCATTGTTGACAGATTATTATTTGATATTATTTAAGAGCCAACCAATGCAAGTGGACCATCAGCTACTATGATTTTATTTAAGAAAAATTAATAATAGCGCCTATGGTCAAAATTGTATAACTTACTAATAGTGTACCAGCTGCAAAAAAACACCCATATATAAAGTGTACCAATTAATAAATAATTTGCGCTAGTAAATATATATAAATATATGTAAAGAAATCATCAAATCATAAGTCCAGAAAAATATATATATACCAATACCACAGAAAAATATAAAAAAACTTTTTAGGTGCAAAAAAACTTTTGTGCAAAAGGAGTGTCTCAATATAAAAAAAGTGTCTCAATATAAAAAAAAAATTTCACCAAAAAACCTTGATAATATAAATGGCAGATCATCCATAAAAATATCTTCAGAAACGGAAGCTCTCCAACACACCGATCCTCATCGATCGAAATAACAGGACGAAAAACTTTGTAGTTAATCGAAAATCCACTTCTCCAATAGAAAAAGGACCACCTTCAAACGTATCCATGGGGGGAAATGCCAAGCACTCGAGAGAAACAGAAAGACTTCATGGTGCAATATTATAAAAAAACCAATTCCTTTATTAGATACTCATTGCACTTACTCAAGAGGTGTCCCAGCCGACACCAGCATCAACAGCAATCACATAAACGAGCCTGACTACTCAGCACATGTGCAATAGCTGGCAGTCAAAAACGTAATGACATCACATCAATCAAGCTCCGCCCTACGCGTTTCGTCATCGATGGACGTCGATGACGAAACGCGTAGGGCGGAGCTTGATTGATGTGATGTCATTACGTTTTTGACTGCCAGCTATTGCACATGTGCTGAGTAGTCAGGCTCGTTTATGTGATTGCTGTTGATGCTGGTGTCGGCTGGGACACCTCTTGAGTAAGTGCAATGAGTATCTAATAAAGGAATTGGTTTTTATAATATTGCACCATGAAGTCTTTCTGTTTCTCTCGAGTGCTTGGCATTTCCCCCCATGGATACATTTGAAGGTGGTCCTTTTTCTATTGGAGAAGTGGATTTTCGATTAACTACAAAGTTTTTCGTCCTGTTATTTCGATCGATGAGGATCGGTGTGTTGGAGAGCTTCCGTTTCTGAAGATATTTTTATGGATGATCTGCCATTATATTATCAAGGTTTTTTGGGTGAAATTTTTTTTTATATTGAGACACTTTTTTTATATTGAGACACTCCTTTTGCACAAAAGTTTTTTTGCACCTAAAAAAGTTTTTTATATTTTTCTGTGGTATTGGTATATATATATTTTTCTGGACTTATGATTTGATGATTTCTTTACATATATTTATATATATTTACTAGCGCAAATTATTTATGATTTTATTTAGCTGGTTTTCTTTTTTTTTTTCTTTTTTTTTTTGGATACAGTAGGGAAGGCTTAAGCTTGCCATACATTATACAATTTTCTTATCCAATTTCCTTTAGAGTTACCTGCAATAATGTAGTGCAAGGGCCTGTCTGATTTCATACAAATTGGAAGTGTTTAGGCTTGACCCCATATTACAGTATATAGTTTTGGTCAATCTAGAGGAAAATTGTATAATATATGGCCAGCCTTAGGGTCTCTCGGGTTGTATTACTGTCCCCCCCCACCTTCTCCGAGGAGAGTTTCATTCTCTAGATTTGTTCTGGTGACCACTGTCATGCTGTGATGAGAATCCAAAATTTTATGGTTGTCACCAGAAAAGGAGCAGTCTTCCAATCCAAATCTTTCAATAGGGACACTCAATTCAGCAACAACTTTCCAAGAAGGGGTTTCCCTTTCACTTGAGAGATTTCTTCTCGCTTCCTGTTGTGTCTTTGGTACAAAAACTAAAAGGAAATTATCTAATGGGACACAAAACAGCAGTATTCCCTACTACTACTAACAAAAAAAAAAAAATTGACTATACTTATGCTTTCAGATACCTGTCTGGTGCTTGTGCAATGGCCCAGGCCCATATCACTGAAGCCACAGGCATACTGGTCTATAAGCCAGGTGTGCATTTTTTTTTTTTTTGTGGGGGGGACCACACATTTATTTATTTTTTTTATAAACCGTGGATCAGATTTCAGGAGTGGCTCAGGTGAACAGCCAAAAGAGCATATCTGATAATCTCCAAATGTGAGCACAATGAATATGGAAAATCTATTCCCATTGTTTTTTTTTTACTATATATGAACATTTAATAACAGATATACTGTATAAAAATAGTTTTTACTCACTTAGTTCCTCCCGGTGTTTCTCTGTTTGTGCAAAATATTGGCGCAGCTCTTCTGTGATCTCCATGTTACTCATATCACATTCTATTCCACCCTCTTCAGAATCCGATGCAGCAACTTCCTGCTCCATATCAGACTCCTTGTCCTTTGAAGAAGATACCTTTAAACATGGACGTGGTCGGTGTGATTGTTTTTGAGAACCTGTGTAGATGCTTGGGCGAGAGGATTCCCCTTCCCAATCAGCATAGCGACCAGCTTGAAAGGTTTCAGCCAGGTACCAGGGAGGATAATAGAGAGATGCCACAGCCATTCTGTATGCTCTCTTATGCCTGTACAGCCACTGCATTGCCTGACTGTAATGCTTCCAATACCTAGAATACACTCGGCCTGCATACCATGGCTCTGTTTCTTGATGGTATATGCTTGCCTGGGGAGACACAAATAAAAAGCAGGAGAAATTTACACATACTTATACACTGCAATGTACATATAAAATTGTTTTGTATTTCAAGAAAGTTATCATCAAGTGGCTTCTCCTTCAACCTTTGGCCTTGGATAAAGGTGCCACCATCATAGATTGTCTTGGATACACCAAATCTGTATAAAATGAATCCTTATAAAGAGAAGAACACAGACAAAGTGGTTCTAAACCCACAACAGTAAAATCAGTCTGTAGATGCAGTAAAGTAGGCTTGTTATACTCACTGTGGAACCTAAGGGGTTAATCCTCCGCATTGTGTAAAAAGGCTGTGTGATCCTGTTTCTTCTGATCCTCCCCTTCTTCCACAGTCCCTAAGCCATCTGCTGAAAGTACAGAACCCTAGGAGGCACTCTGCACATGCTCAGTTTGATGTATATTGCCAGAGGTTTGTTGGGGGGGTGTTTTTGGGGGGGGGGGGGGGGGATTAGCAAAGGGCCAATCGGCACTGATCGTCAGGGATCACAAACAGATCGTCAGGGATCATGCAGCCTCATGGGACAATCAGAAGAGAACCAGTGCTTGGCTAGACAATGATAGAAGTCACACGACTGCTATATGCTACTGATGAGAAAAGGTATTTAGCAGTTTATATTTACGAAAATAAATAAAATAAAAAATAAAATAAATTGCATTTCCATGTTCTGTGCACTGTGGGAGCCCAGATATAGTGAATGCAAGGTCCTGGGTTTAGTAGCACTTTAATTGTGTCTTCCAACATAAGTCACACAGTATTTTATGAACTTGGGCCCAATCTAACATGAGTATCAGCCGTGACCACAAAACAAACTAAGGAACTGTTTAAAGTAAATATTCCAACTATTAGGCTTCATGTACACTAGCAATAAGGATATGAATGTTTAGAATGCCGTCCGTGGGAAGACGCAAAAGGCAGCAAAACTGCATTGCCACATCTTGCGTTTTCCCACGGCCAACTGTAGGCTAGTGCACATGAAGCCTTAGGTAAAAAAAAAAAAAAAAAAAAAAACCTCACAAACAACAAACATATGCAGCTACACAACTGCATTAGATTTTAGTTACTATAGGATTGAATGCTTAGCGATTATGCATGTTAACCTTTGCAGTTCTTTCAAATGGGACTGTAATGAGCACTTTGAGGAGAGCCTGAACAATATAGTTATCCACATAATCAATGCCCCAACATTGGCCATTAGATTGACTAATGAAGGGTGCCTTGAGCCCCAATTATTTAGAAGAGAAACGTTTCTCACGGATTTCCAATGAATTTATTGTTTGAGGCATTATTATTACAATAGTTCAGATTAACATTTTGAGCACAAGCCCACTTTAAAGCTAAACTCCAGGAAAAAGAAAAATAGTGATGACACACCTGTCCACCCCCCTTTCCCTCCTCAGGGCAAGGGCTAAAATGTTCATTTTCACCTATGGTACCAATTAATAAAAAAAAGCAAAAAGGCTTTTTACCTAATCCCTTGCTTCTACAGGCTCTCTCATGCTATGCTACTGGCCCCTGCAGCCTCTTCTCTAACGCACTCCAGAAGGCATTATCAAGTACAATGCAGAGCCAATGGTCCTGCATTGTGTGTGAGGACACCAAGGTACCCACCACAACCTGAACGTCAGGGAGAAGAGGGGAATGGAGATAAGTTAAGCAAAAATTCCTGTTACAGGTATGCTAGGCATAAACAAAAATATGTAACCCTTGCAAAGCAGGGCAGCCCCAGGGTAAGGGAGGATTTATATAGTTTCTTTTAAAAAACTTAACCCAGAACTGTGATTTCAAAATTTGAATAGGCATTGGTGGACTGAAGCACCCATTAGGTTTTATCTTTAATGACAATTCCTTGCAGCGGGAAGGCCATAACAAAAACTGTCACTCTTGAAGCCAAGCTTCCCAATTATTGTCCGGAGCATAAGCCATGTAGGGAAAGCGCATTGCTGGAGTGTCGGAAGCAAAAATATCATTTGTATTGGTTACAACCAAAGTTGAGCTTTCAGTTCCAGGCAAAGCTGTCCTTTAAGCACTACTTGTCTTTATCCATTGAATACTACAATTTAAGTAAAATTATTTTAAAAAGCATGTTTTATTTTATTAATAAGCAAGATGGATTTTCCTTTCCATGATCAAATGTCATCTTACTTTATTCTGTGAGACAATCAGGGAAGGAAGAAGCCCACGCACATCATTTTCACATATAGCAAAATATAATTTTAACTTCCCATACATCCAAGCAAATTCAAGAGCCAAAGCAAACATCCTGAAGATCACTTGAGACCACTATGGAAACCTAAAAAACACATCTGCTTGTGCAGCTGTCCAGCAATGTAAAACATGCTTAAATGAAATATCTATTTTCACACAATTAAACCATTTGCTAGAATTCTGGAAGTCTTCCAAAACTGGGATACAATACTGTATGTTATGTATTCAATGTATATAAAGTCTAGGATTAAAATATTGCTATGAGCCGTAAATGTTTTAAAGGAACAGGCTCACTTAACTATAAAAGTAGTGGCTGTTCACACAGGGGTATGGGAAAACATAAGCCCTCCATGGGAAAATGCAGTATATTTTCCTGTAGCACATGGTCCAGAAAAACAAATGAGCAGTAAAGTTTCACCTCCTGTCTTTAGTATAGGTATCATCAAACTATTGATATAGCATCTTTTAAAAACCGCAATATCAACCAGAATATTTAAAACAAGGGGAAGCAAGGCTTTATTGCTTCTGATATCATTGAACCAATGAGTCTATGTTACAGTTTACTAAGCAATGATTGCATAAAAAAGGTGCTATTTGGCACAAAATAGAAGGGTCCTTTCACATGAGTGTCATTATTCCAGTCATGAAAACTGAAAAAAAAAAATGCAAAAAAAGTAAAAAGAAATCCGTTTTCATGCTTTATTTAAATCAGTTTATACATTCATCTTCAGCTCAGATCCGTTTTTCATGTCTTTTTTTTTCTTTTTTAAATTGAAATGAAGAAAAAAATGTTTTTTGCCTAAGAATGGCCGTAAATGGAACAGATGTAAAACAGATGACACCCATTCACATCAGTTTATGTCCGCAAACCTTTTCCGTATTTTTCTATGGACAAACGGATGTTCATTTGCACCCGCCTGTTCAAAGACATACATTGTGGTTCAGTCCGGCTCCATGTGAGAAACGTACAGACAGACATAGATTGAATGCTTGTGTGAAAGGGTCGTAAGCATAAATATTTTTTAGACCCCCTCATCTAAATAAAGCCTAGTTACTGCAAAAACAAAATAATTCTTCTTTATTTTATCAGTGTGGTTGCTGTTTCAAGTACGGGGAGCTAAACTTTCAAGCATCCAGTTATAGGGAAGACTGTTTTTGTAGTGATATTTTTATTCGCTGAGGTCAATAATAACATTTACAAGTTTTAAAAATAGTTTTTCATTTTTTTTTTTTTTTTTTAGTTAAAGCCCAACTTATCTGTAAGATTTCCTCTGACATGGTCTCTGCCAGCTCCTACGCATACTGCGCATGCAAGCCATAGCCCAATTCATTCCTATGGGCAGCTGTATGCAGTCCCTAAGATCATCCATAGGATTCAATGAGGCTGTTGTGTGCAGTAAGAGGATGAGCCAATTAAGACCATGTTGGAGTAAAAATCACTAGATTGGGGATGAAGGTAAGAATAATTCCAAAAGGGTTGCAGTCAGGTGGGTGGGGGGGCCTTTAATAAAGAACAACTTCACTTACAGTTGTCTTATGTAATTTCAAGTAAACTAGTGGTTGTAGAATTAGGATCGTGCTCTTAAAAACTTTAGTGTTGGTCAACTTACAGAATATAGGTATCTCAAACCCAGCCCCGGACATTCCCAGGGGGCCTCACATAATATTTAGTATTTATAATGCTACTGGAGATTCTCAGAGACTTCTGACAATGGTCAGAGCCTGACAAGGGTGTTTTTGGAGACTGGAAATATACTGCAAGAGACTGGGGCATGTTACACAAGACTGCTTGAGATCACTGCCATTACAGTTCCTTTACAAATGAATGCTCTCACTATTAGCTTCTGGGGCTGGAGAGTGGAACAATATGTACCAGAGAATTGTATGTAGCTCTCAGGCCACAGGTTGGGCAATATGGCTTTAAACAGATTAAAGCAGAGCTCCACCCAAAAGGGGAAGTTCTGCTTTAAGGACTGCTCCCCCACTCTCCATTAAGGTTTGGCACCTTTGGGGGGTGAGGGGAGCGGGTACTCAAATTTGACAGGTGCCCGTTCCCACTTCCAGTGCGATTGCCTAGGCGATCAGAAGCTGAAGGTGTCCTTCCTCCCTCCCTCCCTCCCTGTAGTCTTTTGGGACACGTGACAGATCCCAGAAGACTGCAAGACCATTCATAAAGCAGTTGGTGTACCAATAAATAAATAATTTGCGCTAGTAAATGTGTATAAAAAGAAATCATCAAATCATAAGTCCAGAAAAAAATATATATATGCCAATACCACAAAAAAAATATAAAAACTTTTAAGTGCAAAAAACTTTTGTGCAAAAAAAGTGTCTAAATATGAGAAATTTCACCAAAAAACCTTGATAATATAATGGCAGATCATCCATAAATATATCTTCAGAAACGGAAACTCTGCAACACACCGATCCTCATCGATCGAAATAACAGGATGAAAAACTTTGTAGTTAATCGAAAATCCACTTCTCCAATAGAAAAAGGACCACCTTCAAACGTATCCATGGGGGGAAATGCCAAGCACTCGAGAGAAACAGACTTCATGGTGCAATATTATAAAAACCAATTCCTTTATTAGGTACTCATTGCACTTACTCAAGAGGTGTCCCAGCCGACACCAGCATCAACAGCATAACAGCAATCACATAAACGAGCCTGGCTACTCAGCACATGCGCAGTAGCTGGCAGCCAAAAACGTAATGACGTCACATCAATCAAGCTCCGCCCTACGCGTTTCGTCATCGACGT